TTCATTTTAGTTGAAAGCTTTATGATTTGATTTAAAACCTTTCCTATCGCTGTACTACTTAAATTAATGTGATGTAAATAGTAAAATTTGAGAATACCGATTTAATAATAATATTAATCATTGTACGTCACGGTGAAATTATTACGATTTGATTTAAAAACTTCCCGATCTCATAATATTGTTTAACATAATGTTTCGTTACAGTATTAATTTTATGCATCCCATCTGCAAAATTATTTGTTGTAATACAAGAAAAAATTATTATTGAAAAGAATGTTGAAAAAAAAAATGTATTTATATTATGTCTGAATATCCTGTTAAATAAATCGCAAAATAATTTTTTTTTCTATTTTTAAAGAAAAAAATTTTTTGAAAAAACAAAGTAAATTTAGTTGCCTTATACTTTACCTGAACTGCAGGTTGACAAATATATGTATGCAGAATAACATAATTTATCCAATTAATAAAAAATAAATAAAAATTCACTGTCTGAAAAAAATATTCCTATTTTATAATTTTTAAAAAAAATTATGTTACTCATTACATTCATGCTTTTTCTAATTTTATGCATTCCATTTCTAAAGATAAAAAAAAAAAAAAAATCACATCTGATAAACCAAATTTATTTAGCCGTAGTTAACTTAGCATAAGAAAACAGAAGTTTATAGACGACAATTTGCAGATCTCCGAAAAAGGTAAATAATAAAAAAAATGAGGGAAAAAAATTGCAAGTTAATTATAAATATTTTCTTTTGTTACAATAAATATAGTTATATTCAAAGAAAATATAAAAGATAAGAAATATAAGTACTCACACTATGAGTAAGGTCTAACAGAATGTGTTAACGAAAGGTAGGCCAAAGAATTTGCTACTATATGCTCCCCGTCGTCCAGATTTAGAAAATAAGGAAACCCCCTTTCGTATAAAGCATTAAGAAGAGAGTCAACCTTATTGGCCTAGAGATACAAGTGCCTAAGCGTCAGGCATTACGTCATGCAGTTCGTACTTTTCCAGACATGTTTTGTAATTTCGACTGCTATTTTATAAAGATCTGTTTATATATAGTATATGTATGTATATATATAAAAGTTTTTTATTAAAAAAAATTCTTTTGTTTTTTGAGTAATCTAATCGTCAATAAAATCGCATTGCGTTTTTGTTGTAATATTATTATTCCAAAAGGTACATAGTGTTTGTAAACTGATTTATCAATCAATGTAATTTTTTTTTTCTAAAATAAAATTTACGAAAAAAATAACTAGAAAATTACTCTTTTAACAGCAAAAAGAAAAGAAAAGAGAGTGTAATTTATACTATTTAAAATTAATTAAAAAAATATGAATAAAATTCCTGATAGCATTTTTTTCTATACACTGTTATATTTAAACGTGTAACAAACCAATACACTGTGGTGCCACCTATGTCCCCACCACCGAGACTCAGTTCAAGTTCGGATATGAAACCTTAAACATGACTTTTCCCCTTTCCCCGAGTTTTCTTAAAATATTAATTCTTTTTACTTTTGTTTAAATGTAATTTATGTTTGTATCTGTGGTTATTAATTAAAATTCTTTATTAAGTGTACTTTTAGTCACTTTTGTCCTAATTTACAATTAATTTGAGCTAGCCGATATTCCTTCACACTACATAAATGGCGGCCCAACTCGTGGCTGTTTTAAAATGTAAGTCATGTTTCATATCAGAACTCGAATTCAATTTTTCTCCTTAGAATCGTTGTATAGTGAAATCTCCATCCTGGAGCAGAAATATTTTGTGTTTTAAGGAAAATAGCTTCATCCAGAAGCAAAAGTGAAAATCTCCACCCGGGAGTATTATTTACGTGCATAATCTTCAACCTGAAGAAAACGCAGTAAGCTATTAGTTATGATTTTAATAACTTAAGATTAAAAGAAGAAAATTAGTTACAAAACTTAACAAATCTAAGTTTAAAACCAGATAAATTTCGATGTTTCAATCTC